TTTCTGAAGAAATTACTCTATCAAAGAAACAAATATTCATTGCACTGAAAAGTAATTTGAATGGAACACAAAGTAATTTAATAAACGTAATTAATTATTTTTTTCGTAATTTTGTTTTTAATTTGTAACCTCGAAAACCACTTTGTACAAATTTTCAGCTAAATAGAAGAATCCTCTCATATTTTGGTCAGCTTTTTGTTTTTTTTTTTTAATACTGAACGTCCATATTGAATTCGCCATTTTGTTTTTCGTAATTTTGACTTTTGATTTGTAATTATTGACCTCGAAAACCCCTAGATGCGAAGTTTTATTAAAACTGAAATACGCCTTCATATTTTGGCCAGCTTTTTGCGATTTGGAACCACTGTGCGTCGGTGTCAGCACGCGGCATAGCGGCGCGACAGTTCGACCGCAGAGGGCGGGCGGCATCGTAATGTTCGATGGTTCGTCCGTAGAGGCAAATATTGGCCGCGAAACACAGATCGGCGGAGAGCGCAACGTCCATTTCTCGAGAAATCGGCGTGGAAACATCGTAGGGAAATGTATAACATAAAATAAACGAGGGCCTTGAGGTTCGCACTTCGGTTTTTCGATTTGTACAGGCTACTTCGTTTTTACGACTTGTGTGGTCATCTTCGTTAAGATTTTGCACTTCGTTTTTACGACTTGTGCGGTCATCTTCGTTAAGATTTTGCACTTCGTTTTTACGGCTTGTACAGTTAATTTCGTTTTTGCGACTTGTACGGTGAACTTGCATAAGATTTTACACTTCGTTGTACAGTCATCTTCGTTTTCCCGATTGTATTGTTCAGTCTAATGAAAATGAAACCCCACCGGAGTTTTTGCGACTTTAATCATAAAGTTCGTCACGATATAAATACCGTTAGCTGTAAATTGACTTACTGTTATATAAGAATTTATTAGGAAAGCACAAACGTAAAGTAAAATGAGAATTCTCATTTTCCAATTGTAATTTGTTAATAGAAAAATAGAACACGGAACGAATTGCAGCATAAATCAGTTACATGTTTTCTTATTTGAAGGAACTATTTTATGAGTGCAAACAAGAGCATCAGTATTATAAGTTAGTTTTGGGATAAGTATTTCTAAATATCATGCAGTTATATATTTGGTAACTTTTTTGACATATAACTTTGTTTTGTATCTGATAACGATAATCAATCGGGGTAGGGTAGAGTTAGGTTAGCTTAGGGGTCGAAGAGGCGCGGCAGTGGGAGTAATAAAGCAGTGAATCAATTGATTATTGTTGTCAGAGTCATAACACATATTTGTACGAAGAAATTTGTAAAAAAATATGGAAATTTGGAAAAGCACCTATACTGCATAATCACCAGGTATAGTTACCTATCCTAACCTAATCCCCCGCCCATTGATTATTGTTGTCGGATTCAGAACAAAGCTATTTTGCTAAGAAAATTACAAAAAAATATAAAAATTCAGGGAGGCACATGTTCTGCATAATTACTGAATATTTCTAGCATGTAATTTATGTTTAATTTTATATTTTTCCTTTCGTAGTTCCTTATTTTGTTCATTTTTTTAGTAAAATATATTTTAATTATTAAATTACCAGAATCTTGCTAAATGTTAGATAGCAATAAGCCTCCTTTTATATTTTTTGCTTTCTTGAAACAAAATATTCAATATACAGGTGCCGTTCTGACTTGACCAAAGAGATATAAATAAAATTCGAAAAGCTTTCAAAGGTCTCCGGTCCAATAGATTTTACTGACTGATTCCATTTATGAGAAAGATTGCTTGGATTGTCATATAAAGACCTAAAAGGGCAATTTGAAAGATGACGATGGAAATTAGGACCTGCAGTAAATCGTTTTCTTTTTTTTTTATAATAAAATTCTTGAAATGTTTGGGTAGCAACTCCTAATACATAGTAAATGATGTATTTTGAAAGATATTCTATAATGTCTTGTTATCGATTTTCGGTAACGTCATTTTAGGAAAAAAAATGTTATCACTACATATGACCACAGTTTATTTTCAAACGAAATATACATTTCACATTTACGTATGAGAAGCTATTCTAAAGGCAATGAAATGCATCAGATAGCACTTTATGTACAGCAACTTAAACAGTAAGCATTAAAAATTTTCGTTATTATGTACATAAGTACATCTATATAAATAGAAGCAGATGCAAAATTGCTATAAAATTCAGAAACTTGTGAAGAAATTCATAGAAGCGTTTCGGTTAATGCTAGAAAACGCAACTACTTCACCTCACACACATTCGTGCTGTTCATTGTATCATTTTGCTGGACGGAGTTGAACTGGACGAGAACTAATTCATAGGTAACTATAGTTCCTGCAACCTGAAACACATTTTAATACATAATCTGTGATATTTTTCTAATAAAATAATAATGTAATATATGTATA